AGAGGATGGTGTGCAGTATTTGTCAACCTGTCTTAAACACTGCAGTTGAATTTCCCTCTACTGCATCAAAGAGGAGCCATTTTGGAGCATACAGTCAAGGAGCACGTCTCTTGCAGAGTGCCCAGCCCGCTTGCACAAAAGTAGGTTAATTCTTTGCTCTTTTTGCTTCCCTCCCCGCTGACCTCTTTCCATTTTTGGCCTGGCTGGTTCTTGGCTTCTCGGAGCTTGCTAGCTCCGTAATTGTTTGCCCTTGGGAATGTAACTTTTAATTGAGCACTATTCATTGCCTGCCGTATCCTAGGTGGAAGGGGGAGATGCCTTATTTCTTCTGTTGGGAGAATTGCTGCCTCAACAAACGTACTTTTTGGAAGTGCCATGTGGCTTGTGGCACGTCTTACCCCATTTCTGGAGGAATCTGTTGACAGGAGGTAAAAATCGTAGTAGGCTAAAATAGCTCGTTCATAACCCAGAAATCCAGGGTAGCTTTGAGTTTTGGAGTTTTTTCTTTCTGTCCTTGGGACCCTTCACTATGTAAAGTCCACCCTTTCTCTCTTGTTTGCCTTCAGGTGGGAGTTAACTGATTTAAGTGGCTGGTGGAAATACTTGCATGCACTCGTCTACACTTGGTACACTTCCGTGGATTGCTGGATCGAGATTGTTTTCAAGTCGGTATCACATTGGTAGTCGATTTTAATATATGAATAGCTTCTGGAGGTGACTAGTACCAGAATCCAGCCCAGCTGGCCCAGCTGGATTGTGAGCAGGTAGATGAGGTTATTTGTGTAGTTGCAAGGAAGAACAACGGCATTTCTGCCAAAGCATGTCTTGTTTCAAAACCGCCCGTACTAGACATTCATTGGTTTGGGCTGAAATTTCCTGTGTGGTACTGTCACGTGGACTGGTGTTCAGGAAATCTCTGCACCTCTCTTCTACAAGCACTCTGATCGTCTGCCTTAGTCAAAGCTATTGACAAATGAATTGGTCTGTTGCTTTCTAAATGTATTTTAGCCTTGATTTCACCCTGTGTGACAATCTCCCTTAATTGCCTGCCATCATTCCTTGATGTCAGATGGCTAATTTTGGCTTTACTCAGAGTGAATATCGCGATCTCAAAACTGCTACGTGCGCTCTTCTGTCGAAATAAGCAACGTAGACTGCAGCTTCCTAAAACTTTCACTTGGGTGCCGTTTCGGGACAAGATTCCTGACGGGAGGGAGAACTGCTCTGACTTGGCTGAATCCTAACGTATCTGGTGCAGAGCTTAACTTCTAAATCTCTGACTGAGCTGGCAATTTGAGAGCACCCTCTTTAAGGAGTTCCCTTTAACTGGAAGATGAGGCTTTGAGAGGGAAAGGGAATGCTCTTCAACCCTGGACAGGTCGTCTGTTTTGTGGGAGATGTGCGGGCGAGGGAAAGGGTGCTAAGAGCAGTGAATCAAAATTGCACGAAGCACGTTATGCACCTTTTCTACGCCAGCTCCTGCTGCGGGACACGTAATGGTGATGTGGTTGGAACAGTTGAATGCGAGTAGTTTTAAAGCAACTCGATGTGGGCAGCTGTTTTGGTGCAAAGAACCTCTGGTCCACATTCAGTCGGTGAGGCTGAACATACCCGGGTCCTGAGAGCTAGGGAAGGCGGCATGTTCTTCAGTGCTGCCCTGGTCTAATTCCTGCAATGCGCCAGGAGCGTTTGCACTCCTGTCAACTCCTGGAGGTGAGCCTGTGCTAGGTGTGTCATCCCGTGCCGCCTCCTGCCTCCCTTTCCCCACCAAGTTGTGCACGTTGCAGTCTGGCTCAGGTCTTTGCCACGTGATGCCTTGGACGACTGACAGACCCTTAACAATGTGCGACTTAAGCAAAGACCTGGCGTTGGCACCGTTTGGGGAGGCGGAGCGAAGTGGAGGAGAAGCTCAGAGGTTGAGTGAGGATATGGCGCAGATTTTAAAGAGGCTTTGGAGACTTCCGTAATTTTTTTGTCTCTGAATTCGTTCAGCAGCTGCTTGACTCTGCTCCTTGCTTACGCTCCAGCATGTACTGGCTGACTTTGTTCCTTGCACGGTTCTCAGCTTGTCCCTGCGTGTAATGTTACTTTACATGAATTATCCTCTATTCAAGTGTGTTTCCTGCCAATGTTGACAGCTCTGGCTTGTTCAACTGGAGGTGTTTAACCAGCTGCTTTTGTTCCTTAGGTTCACATATAACACAGGTCCCTGAATGGAAGGCAGTGGATCTTTTGGAGCCCAATAAACCAAAGGAGAACTGGTGGCAAGGCATGAGACATTTGCCTCCCCTACAGTGCTCGCCTTTAATGTGATGGTCAGTGCGCAGATTAGAGGACTGGCTACTTCGTTACTGAGAATGGAGTGACCAGCTGGGCAGCTACCTTGCAAACTTGGAGCTGGGCAGGGCTGTAAACCCCGACAGGAGAAGGATCCATGAACTTCTTTAAGTCGAGTTTGTGTCCAAACCTCCACAGAACTGCAGCATCCCCCGAAGCTGCAGGCACTAAAATAAACCAGCAACATGGCCTCGGCACCCTTGCTAGCCCAAAGCTTAAGGGAAGCCGATCAGTCGGCTTGTAATCAACAGCACTTCGGTAACCTTATTATTTTTTTTATATAAAATCTGATTCATGCTCCATGATTTCCATGCCAGATGAAGTCCCGGTCATGAGTAACTGTTGTGACTATAGCTGGCAGGAGTTCTGGGCGATTGCCTCACTCCAGGAAATGTTAAAATAACACTTTTTTTTTTCTTAGAAAGCTTGTTCCCTCTCCTCCCACTTTTAAAAATTTTCCTAATAGCTGCCCTCACTTTGGCATCTCTGTGTACAGAGGGCTGCTTGTGTAGCCAAGCGAGAGCAGAGCTGCTTGGGTGGATGTGATGCCGTGGGGGAAAGGTGCACAAAGGTAGCTGGTTTCTCTAGGCAAAGAAGCTGCTTTATTTTATTTATTTCTTTTTAAAATGAGTCTGTCCGGAGCTTAGAAGGAAACTCTCCGAAAACAATCTTGCTGTGCTCCCTCCGCACCCCAAAGAGGCCATTTTCTGGTCTGCTTGTCGGTGAGAAGAGGAGCTGCCCAAGTTGAAGCCGATAAGTTGAGACGCTAAACTATACAAGGAGGGTGTGTGTGGCGGTTTTAAATAACCGCTGTCTGGATTCCAGCGACTCAATGGGAGCTCCCCTGCCAAGCGCTGCTAGAACGTGGGCCTGCTGGTTCGGATTTGCAGAGTCGGCCGCCTAAGGTACTTAGGAGCCCTGGGTTGAGGGAGGGGCGGCGGAGGAGAATTCCCTCTCTAGACCTATGGGTGGCCGTGTTCTCCTCGACTCTGCCGGCGGCCCCGCAAAAGGTGTGTAACCGTCCTAACCGAGTGCTCTTTTCCTTGCCTGGCCTCGACACCGTTTGAGAGAACGTTATTGCTATCGGGAAGCAGCCGCGGTTTGAAGCTTTTCCTTTTTCGGGAGCTGCGTTTCAGCTACGGAGGAAAGAAACTGTTTGTGGCTGTGCCGCAAAGACAGTCCGGCGTGCCTTGTCGTTTTTGCTCCGGGAGTCTTAGTCTTGAGGATCCCTCCTGCTCCAAAGGGCCATGCGAGGCTGGATCAGGCCTCCCTGGGCAGCTTGCGGCTGTTCCAGGGAGACGACTTCCAGCATCTCTTACCTGGCGTGAGCAGAGTGCTTCCCCTGCAGTGCTCCCGACCCTCGCTGGACCTGCAACCAGGACATACCGTTCCCAACTCTGTTGTAGTAGCTTAGCAGGATGCTGTGTTTTGCAGGTCTTCAAGCCTGCGGGCTCTGTGAAGGGAGGCAATGAAATGAAGCCTGTTGTTTTCCTACACCCGACTGCAATATTCCAGTCATCTCTGTGACTTAGTGCATCAATCTGGAGTTTGCTTCTCAGACATGGGTACCATGGGGGCATTTAGTACGCTCTCAAATATACAAGTGGCTTGTATATTTGAGAGCATAGTCAATGCCAAATGTGGCTAGTTACTGAGCTGCGGCGTTCAGCTTCAATAACCAAGCCCGAGTGAGCACGTTCGGCTTTCCTACCACAACTATTTCAATCTACGAGTAAGATGAAATGGAGGCTCTTCAGAGGAGCTCGGCTGTCTTCAGTCCATCTGAATCTTGGTGGACAACTGCAGACGGTTGCTTGTGGTGGCTTAGGGAGTTTTCATTGAGTATTGAATGCCGTGTATGTTTTGGCTGCTTTCTGAGCAGCTGTAGATGGCTTTGCTTCGACTGTCCTCCCCTTGGAAGGTAATCCCAGGGCCTTTATGGGGAGCTGGAAAGGATACGCACAGGTGGAGGGTCTTGGCATTGGCTGGGATCTCTCGTGTAGCTTGTCTGAGGGTGTGTGTCGAGACTAGAGGCAAAGCAAGGCTATGCCCGGTAACAGCAATATCAATGTTAATTTGTACAGCCTTTTCGAGGCCGTTGGAAGGAACTGAGCATTACCTTGCACTAGATTCCACGTCTTGCGTGAATTTGACTCTTGCTTAGATGCGTGTATGAGCCACAGGTCCTATGGTGTGCAGCAACGTGACCGTGATTGGGAGGAAAAAGCAGGGCTAATCTGGGGAGGAGCTGCACGTTAGAGAGGCCGTGTGTGTGTGTGTGTGTGTGTGTGAAGGTGCTGAAGTCCTGTTCTTGCAGCACAACTGAAAAAAAACATGCTTTACAGGGGAAGCAACGGTCTGACACCTAAGGTTTGGTTTTGTTTCCCCCCACCCCGCCTTGACTGTTGTTCATCAGAGAATATAGCATGAGGAAACTGGTGTCTGCTCTTGGGAGGCTGTAAACTTGTACGCTGTAAGCTGTATAAAGCTAAGATGCATCTTTTTTTTGCCAGGCAGCTCATACTTCCCCAGCACTTAAAGAAAACTTGGAGAGTCCACGTAGCAAGTATTAAGCCTTCCAGTTGGCGATAGTGCTGCTGTCTTTGCGAAGAGCGTACGAGAGCAGGTGGCACGCACAACCCCCTTTCTGGGATGTGCTTTGATGTGTTTGTCCAAACAAAAGGGTTCTGTAAATCTTGCAGACAAGGTTGTGTGCTAATGTTTAACTCTCCTTGTTTTTCTTTCCATCCATTAGGCAACACTGACCAGCGCACATCTTGACAAGGTTTCCTAGCAACCTCTTCTTCTGCAGGGCTGAATGACAGCAGGAACAGGAGAGGCGGGCTAATTGATGAGCTTGCCCTGGGAGTCTATAAATACCTGAAATTGCAAGGCAACATGGGTCAGAAGGTCACTGGTGGGATAAAGACTGTGGATATGAGGGACCCTGTATACAGGCCACTGAAGCAGGAGCTCCAGGGGCTGGACTACTGCAAGCCCACCCGCCTGGACTTGCTATTGGACATGCCTTCGGTATCCTACGATGTCCAGTTGCTACATTCGTGGAATAACGACGACCGGTCGCTGAATGTATTTGTGAAGGAAGATGACAAACTAATATTTCACCGGCATCCGGTGGCTCAGAGCACAGACGCCATTCGAGGCAAAGTCGGATATACCCGAGGACTGCACGTGTGGCAGATTACGTGGGCAATGAGACAGCGGGGCACCCACGCGGTGGTCGGCGTGGCGACGGCAGACGCACCCCTGCATTCTGTAGGGTACACGACGCTTGTAGGAAATAACCATGAATCTTGGGGCTGGGACCTTGGGCGGAACAGGCTGTACCACGACGGGAAGAACCAGCCGAGTAAAACCTACCCTGCCTTCCTGGAACCAGATGAGACTTTTATAGTGCCGGACTCTTTCCTGGTGGTCCTGGACATGGATGATGGGACCTTGAGCTTCATTGTAGATGGACAGTACATGGGCGTTGCTTTTCGAGGGCTCAAAGGGAAAAAACTGTATCCAGTTGTAAGTGCCGTGTGGGGGCACTGTGAAATACGGATGCGCTACTTGAATGGGCTTGACCGTGAGTATCGCCCTTGGCAGCTTGTTTCTAAAGTTGCGCAGTTCTGCATGCAACCCTAGACCTCCAAAGAGCCCAACTCTCCATCACTGCTCCCTTCCTAGTAACTAAGAATTAAAAATGCTGAGGGTAGGGAAATCCCATTTTCAGTACCAGTAGGCCAAAAAAAAAAAAAAAAATCTACTACACTTAGCCTGTAAAGGACTGGGGAGGGTGGGGGTTTGGGAGACGGGTTTCCACTGTAGCCCAGTATGGTGGGCTGTATTTAGGACCAGAATTATTTCTGGTTGAAGACACTAGGCCCCCAAACTACCACTCCAGCAGCGTGAATGGGACTAATGTGTCTGGGTAGCTGTAGGCAGTGCATGAAGTTGGGCACTCTGCACCACAACTTTTAAGTGACTCTGCAGGCTGGAAATCCATCCTAGCCATCCCAAACGCTGCAGTGAGTGTCCTGTATTCTTGCAAGGGGTGGTAGTATATTTGACTCATTTTGTGGGGAGGAGGCTCTCGATTCAAGCTAAGGAATAGACCCTGTTTTGTAACTGCCTACAGTTACTCGGGCTCTTCAAATCCACTATAATAGAAGATGGGGATAGCATGAATGCTTTCAGTAGAATAATCCCTATCAGTAGAACAAAATAGAAGTACTCAGCACTGCAGATATTAAAGCAACGGATGAGGCATTGCTACCTGCAAGAGAGCAAGCTGTTATGGCTTTTGAAGTGGCAAGTAGGAGCCACGTTGGACTCCACTGTTCTAGGGACTGTAAAAAACAAAGGGCAAAGGAGACCGTGCCTTTTTTTTGAGCAGTAACAGATGCAGTCTGTGCTTAAAACTTCCAGTTCTTGCTACCCAGCCGGGCTGCAAAGATGCAACCACCCAGATGAGGTAGTGTAATTTCCTCTTGACAGATATCGGGCAGGAGTCCCATTTTAAGCATTAGTTTGGTTGCCACATTTGATTAAGTAGTCGCAGTAACAATCTGCATACAGTGGAGTAATGCTGGCTGGGGCAGAGCAAGTGCGGAGTAACTGGCACGTGCAAAAGTGAAACTGCAGAAGCTCATCTGTGTGCGTTTGGCTCGTCTCTGTGTCTTGTTCTTGGTGTGCAGCATAATTTTGCTGTCCCGCTGAAGACATGCAGAACCACTAGACTTTAATCTCTGGGTCTCCAACTTGTTAGAGATCGCGTGCAGACGCTGTCAGTAAGACAAATCGGCCTGTACTATTCTCTGAGCTCTTACCGTTATATTTTTAATTGTACTAGTCCTGGTACTATCTGGACTCATTAAACGCTTGTGCTTTTAGTTTCTTATGCACTGTTTGCTTTTAGGTATCAATTGGGATTTTATCCTTCCTTATGACAACTACCCATCAGGTCACGGTTGCTATTTAAAGAAAGCATTTTGCTCTGAGGAAGAGCCTGCATTGCACACTAGAGGGAATTCCTCTGTCAACTCTGCAATTTTTCCTCTTTCTTGGAAAGTGCATTCCTATTGTTCATCATCATAATAACCTCTGTGCTGCAGTAATCTCATACGGAGGTCGGTTCCAAACTGTGCAGAGGTTTAGGGGGCAAAATGGACGCAGCTTAAAAGATGATGAGAAACAGATGGCTAGGGCATGGAGCACAAAGGCCCGTCCTCCTAAACCATGATGGGGACTAAACTGATGCACATCTAGCTTTGAGGCATGTACACAAGGTCGGTTCTTTCATCTGTACTATGATCTCTTCCAATCACCCTGTCAAGTTTCCTTATCTGAGACTAGCAAGGCAGAGATGCTGCCTGGAAACATTTTGCCTTCCCTTGAGGTTAACAATCAAGAGCACTTTATTTGAGGACTAGCTTTTGAGTCAAGGGACCGGGTGAGCATACTTTTTTGTGAAACGGAAAAAGGCATTCAACTGAAGTAGGGTCTGTCTGTCTGTCTGTCTGTCTGTCTGTCTGTCTGTCTGTCTGTCTGTCTGTCTGTCTGTCTGTCTGTCTGTCTGTCTGTCTGTCTGTCTGTCTGTCTGTCTGTCTGTCTGTCTGTCTGT